CCCACTCCCCTTGCTGGTCACCATCTAGGCGCCCATTGGCGATAGCCAGGCCCGTGGCAGCGCAGAAACCCAGGAGCGCCCGCCCCTGGGGGTTTACCTCCCCGTCGCAGCTAGCGCGGGGGGGCAGCGCAACGCAGCGGTCTAGGAGAGTGCGCCCCTCCTCACTCTCCACCCAGTCTGGCAGGCTGGCGGTGCGGCCATTGAGGTCCCCCCCAATGCATACCGTGCCGCCAGCCGCCTGTGCAGCGAGGACATCCTGCTGCAATCTCCCATAAAATGCAGCCAGCTGCTCGCTGGTCCGCTGTGGCGGCAGGTACACACTCGTCACGTATCGCGGGGGGCCAGCCTCCCCCCGGATCTGAATCCAAGCCACTCCCTCCCAGCTGTGCCACTGCTGGACCCGACCCACCAGAGAGCTGCGGGCGTAGATGGCCACGCCGCCGCGTCCCCTGCCCGTCGAGCAGGGGGTCCCTGGTCGGTGGTTCACAAGCGAGTAGCCCTGCAGGCTGGGTGGGGTGGCGCCCGGCAAGTGGTGTGTCTCAGTGAACAGGAGCACATCACTTGGCGCAGCAGGCAGCAAGGCTGCTACCGCGGCTGCAGGTTGGGCAAGGGTGGGGAGGCGCGGCGGCGTGGCCACACGCGTTGGAACAAGTCGAGGGCTCGGCAGCCGGCAGGGCGCATCCGAGGCCGGGCGGTGCCGAGGCGCTCGGCTGCATGCTGCAGTTGGTGCCAGGCAGGGAGGCATGCAGGCCAGCCCGCCACGTGCCACTTGCTTGCCCACCTGGGTCAGAGCCTGGGCCCATGCGTTGGCGATGGCCTGGGCATTGGCGCCGCCCTGGGCAAAGGCCTGCAGGCAGGGGGAGGGGAGGCAGGAGGCGTATGCGGTCGGCAGATGGACCACACGGTGGCAGCCCGAGGCGGCCCGGAGGGCACAGCCGGCAGGAGCAGCAGCAAGGCGCGAGGCCCAGCGCGGGGCAGCCGCAGCAGCAGCGGCAGTTGCAAGGCAACGCTGTGCGGGTGAGCAGGTGGCTGCCGGCCTCGCCTCAGCAAAGGCGTTGGCCACAGCGGTGGCCTGGCCCCCGCCCTGGGAGATGGCCTCGGCGGCGGCGGTGGCGGTGGCCTGGGCGTTGCTGCCGGCGGCCTGTGCCACGGCCTCGGCGGCGGCCTGGGCAGGGGGAGGGACAGGGTGGGGGCAGGGTTGGTGGATGGGGAGAGGGCTCGGCGAGGCAGATGCAGGAACTACCGGTACAACACTACCGCTGAGGGGGGTGGGCCTGCAGGAACGGAGGCGGAGAAGGAGGAGGGGGGAGGCAGGCCTGCCACGCACCTCTGCGCGGCCTGAGCCCTGGGTGAACGCCTCGGCAGATGCCTCGGCCCTGGCGCTGGCCTGGCCGCCAGTGGTGGGGGTGGTGGTCGTCCCGCCTGCCTGAGCGCCAGCCCCGGCTCCGGCCTCAGCGCCGCCCTGGAGCAGCTTGCGCGACTGGGCCTCTGCAGGCAAGGGTGGTGGGTGGCGTGTGGGCGACTTGTCGGCACGGCAGCAGCCGCAGGCAGGTGCCGGCGGCGCGCGCTCAACCACCGCTGCGCGCCACCACGGGCTCGCAGCAATCAGTGGACAGTGGTAGGGCACCCAGGCAGCCAAACGCAGCAGCAGCCAGAGCGGGAAGTGGTTCGTAGTGATGCCATCGGCGATAACACGGCAGGAGCCGAAGCCTGCTCCTCGGCCCCTCAACCAGCGTCCAAGGCGCAGGCATGGGCAGTCCAAGGCATGTGCAGCAGGCAGGGAGGCAGGCAGGCAGCAGCAGGGGCCGCGGCGCACCGTGGCACTGTCCAAGGGTGGCGGCCCCCAGCAGGAGCGCCAGCAGCAAGAGGGAGCGGCCCATGGGCGACATGGTGACTGGAGACGGCTGGGACGCTGATAGGCAGGAGAAAAAGCTTGAGTGGCCCATCCTACGGGGGATGAAAAGGCGGGTCCCGCCAAATGGAAAGCGGCGCACGCGCAAGGCGCCAGCCATTCTGGCACATTGTGCTGGCGCTCTGATTGTCTCTTCCGTTGATCGTAAATGACCCCAATATCATCAATTGAGCCAATGGATGTTCATGAGCGCGGCGGGCATTGCGCTGACAGCCTCTGGCAGCCGGAAGGCGGCGGCGCCTGCTTTGCCATGCTGTGGCCCGGGCTGCACAGCTCGGTGTGTCGATTGTCACCTAGCTAATCCTAATCGACACATCGCGTTGGGGCACCTGTTGCGAAGCCAAGCCAGGCTTCTCTACCGCCATCGATCAAATTGCTCTCAAGCAGGCGCGGTGATGAACGGCGGAGACGGCACATCCGACTTGCACGGCGGCGCACATGAGGCCGCAGTGCCCGCCGCCCTCGCCGCCGCCGCCGCCCCCGTGCCGCCCGACCAGCCGTGGGCGGAGGCGTCGCTGCAGGGCCTGCGAGCGGCGCAGCAGCGCTTTGCCGCGGAGCGGGACTGGGGGCAGTACCACACGCCCAGAAACTTGCTGCTGGCGCTGGTGGGGGAGGCCGGGGAGCTGGCAGAGTGCTTCCAGTGGAAGGGCGAGGTCTTGCCGGGCCTGCCCGGCTTCTCTGCAGAGGAGCGGCAGCTGATTGGTGCGGCGTCGGGGCGCTCTGTTGGCTTGCTTGTCCTGCGGCAGCCGCGCAGCAGCCTGGCCCAGCCATTCCCAGGCACTGCAAGCAGATGAGCCCCCCTCCTCCCTCTGTGTGTGTTTCAGGCGAGGAGCTTTCGGATGTGCTGCTGTACCTGGGTGAGCAGTGGCAGCTGGCGCAGGGCTTGCTGCTGTCAGTTTTAAGCAGCTGCTGTCAGTGTGGCCCGCGTGAGCAAGTTTCAGAAACAAAACGAGCTCTTCCTGGTCCGTTCTGTCCTTGCTTGCCCCCGCAGTGCGGCTGTCGGATGCCTGCGGCATCGACTTGGCGGCGGCAGCCGCCGCCAAGCTGCGCAAGAATGCGGCCAAGTATCCGGCGGACCGCTGCCGCGGCTCGTCAGCCAAGTACACGCGGTACAGCCAGCAGGACACAGGCGCACAGGGGGCAGCGTCAGGTGACCAGGTGCGGCAGCATGAGCACGAAGGGGCTGGGCGCCCAGCGGCGGTGGCTGCGGCACCGCAGCAGCCAGCGCCTGCCCCGTGCTGAGTGTTGGCTCTTGACGCCGTTGGAGGCTGTTAAACAGCATCACGCTGGAGGTGCAGCGGCAATGTACACCTCAGAGTGCTGGTGAAACAGTACGGTGCAAGCACGGCGCTGCCTGGGCAGAGGAAAGAATGGTGGAAAACTGAGGGCACGGGTTAACAACTGGAGGTAGGGGTAACCAAGTAGGTTGCTGGAAGAATGGAAGAGCCGCTCAGTGTTGGGTGCGATGCGCGGTGGGCCACGCGAGCTCTAAGATGCCGCGGCGGGGGCGCCAGCTCGGCACGCGCCAGCTCAGCACGCGCCCGCCTTGCGCACGGTGGTGCCGTAGCAGAGCGCGGCGCACTTGCTGGGGTAGGTCTTGCCATTGAAGCCGCACACCTTCTTGGGCGCCTTGGGGCACCTGGCCAGGCACCTGTCCAGTGCCTGCCTGGTGCCATTGCACTTGAGGTAGCGCTTGGCGCCCACGGTGCCCACCAGCGCGGGGTTGAGGCTCAGCTTGGGGTAGGCAGACTGGAGGGCGGCCAGCACCTGCAGGCAGGCGGGCAGGCAGGCGGGCGGGGGCAGCGGCGCAAGCGTGGGTGGTACGCGGCGGCGCACGGCAGTGGCGAGCCGCTCGTGCCCTTCCCGGGGAGCTGGCGGCAGGCTGCACGCGGCAGGCACGCCAGCGATGCGGCCCTGGTTCAACCAAGTTGCCGCAAGTTGCCGCAAGTTGCCGCCCAGGCGGGCGCCCTGCCCGCCGTGCTCGCCTTGGCGTAGGTGTCGGCGGCGGGGGCCTGCTCCAGGAAGAAAGCCTCGGCCACGGCGTCGGCGGCGGCTTGGTCGGTGGCGGCCACCACCGCCTCGATGGCGCGCCAGTAGCCGTAGCCCTGGGCCAGGGGGGTGGCAGCGCTCTGCTTCAGGCCCACGCGCTTGCTGACCTCGGCGGCGGCCTTCAGGGTGGCCTGCGGGCGGAGGGCGTGGGTGGGCATGCACAGGCCGTGTGAGTGGCGGGAGGGATGGGCAGTGGGGTGGGCAGCACGTGGCGTGCAGCAGTTGGGGGCCGCGGCTGCTCAGCGTGTGGGCCGCAGCAGGCGGCCGGGGCGTGCCTGGATGTAGGGGACGAGGATGAACTTGGCCAGAGCGTTGCGGCCCTGCAACCACAGCAGGCGCAGCAGGCAGGCGCCACGTCAGCTGCGCCGCCGCGCCCGCCAAGCAATGCTGTGCCACGACCTGCTGTTCCCGCCCCACCACGCCAGTTGCCATGCGGCATGGTTGTTGGGGCAGCTGGGGAAGGGCGGCAGCACTGCCTATTCGTAAAATCTGGCGCCAGCCAAGCCATGGCAGCCGCACCTGCTTGAAGGCGGCCAGGTTGCCCTTGGTGGCGGCGCCGTACATCGTCTTGAAGGCTGCCAGAATGTTGCGGTGCACGGGGCTGCACAGCAGGCGGGAGCAGCGAAGCGTCACCCAGCCGCCAGTGGCCAACCCAGCTGCCGCTGGCAGCTGCACACAGGCGCCAGCCCTGGGGGGGAGGCAGCAGGCGGCAGGCATGCCGCAGGCAGCGGCTGTGGCTGCTGCAGGGCAGCACTGCTGGCGGCGGCCTCGCTGCCCGCCAACCTCTCGCAGGTCTTTCCGTCGGCAGAGTCGCCCGTCACGCCAAACGCGCTGCTCATGGCGTTGACGAAGGGATAGATGCCGCAGCTGCCGGTGCCTGCAGGCGAGCACCGGGGGAGGGGGTGGAGTTGGGCGTAGAGATGGTGGCACGTGAGCGGGGCCCGCTGGCAGGAAGCGGCGAGGTTTGCGGCCGTACCAGGCTGTGCCGCAGCAGCCTGGGGACAGCCAGCGTAATGGCAGCAGCAGCAGCCCCGGCGGCAAGCCCAACCCAGCGCGACGCACCCACATACAGGCCCCACCCCTCGTCCAGGTTGTGCGGCGCGCCGCGGGCCAGGTCTGTGTTGTTCTCCGCCTTGGACTGCGTCTTGTTCAGGCCGGCCTCCACCTCGTGCATCTGCACCAGGCAGGGGCAGCCAAGGAAGAAATGCAGGCTTGGCGCCAGTTCGAGCACGCGCCAGGGCACCGGCATGCGAGGCAGCCAGCCAGCGCCAGGTGGCGCCAGGCGGATTCGGTCCAGCTGAGCTGGCAGACCAGCTGAGCTGGCAGTACCGCCCCTGCTTGACTCACCATGTAGTTGACCAGCATGAGGTGCTGGGGGATGAGCTTCAGCACCTGCACGCTGGTAGCAGCAGCAGGACGGCACCATTCAGTGAGGCCGAGCCCTCCGGGGCTCACCTGGCGCTGCTAGCCCAGGCATGGCGCTCGGCCAGCGGGGCCGATGGAGGCAGGTACACAATGTCACAATGATGCACACAAGCGCCGGCGCTGCGTGGCACAGCATGCGGCCAGCCTCCCGCCGGCGCGCATGCCATGGAAAGGCGCCGGCCCGCGCCGCCCGGCTTGCCTGGGCGCTGGTGGTGGCGGGGGCGAGGGCCAGGGCCTCCTCCACGGCGGCGTCCATGAAGTACAGGTCGTTGTAGTGCTCGATGTACGCCAGCCGGAAGGCCAGCGGTACGCCGTAGATGGCGCCCGTGGCGAAGCCTGCACTGATCTTGCGGGGAGGCAGCAAGCAACGTCGGTGGCCTATGGCGCGGGGAGGGCTCGGCATGCATGCCGGCGGCGGCGGGCAGGACGCGGCAGGCGGGTGGGGGTTGGGAGGCGGTGGGCGGCGCAGGGCAGCGCGGCGCGGGCGGCCGCGGCGGGGGGCGCACCTTTCAGGGTGCGCATGGCGCCGTTGCGGCCGGGGGCGTTCTTTCCCAGCTAGTAGATGTCCATGGCGGTGGCAAAGTCGGGCGGGGTGAGGGAGAGGGCTGTGGCCATGTCACAGGTGTCCTTGGGGATCAGGGTGTACACTGCAGCAGGGCAGGGAGGGCGGGCGGGCGGGCGGGACCGTGTGAGCAGGCGGTGGCGCTCCTCTGGAGGCAGCGAGGGGGGCGACGAGCGACTCGGCGCCTGGGCATGCACATCGCGGGCAATGGGTTCCACTAGCGGCAAATGGCAGGGGCATGCTGGGGCAGCCCTCGGCGCCGGCTCATCTGATGGCATCTGATGGCAGGCATGCAGTGAGTGGCCGCGGCTTGCTCACCCCCGACCTCGCTGCCAAACACAAAGCCGGCCATCTCGACGCCAGTGGTGTTGGGAACGATGATCGGGGCGTCCTCCAGCAGCGTGCGGGTGGCCAGGGACCTCCCGCTGACGGCGCCGGCCGCCAGCAGCACCAGCAGCGTGATGGTTGCCTGTGCAGCCATGGCGGCAATGGGCAGGGCAGCAAGGAGAGGTAATGCGGCCAAACAGGAATGATGCGGCCTCTTATCTGCCCGATCCCGAGTGCACGGCGTGTGCAGGCAGTGTGCCTGTTGCCCCCACGCACGGCACGCGCCAGGCCGGAACGGGGGCACAAAATGTTCATGCACAGAGGCCCATTATTGAATATCGATCGCAGGGCGATGGATGGTAACCGGCGGCATCAGCTGAGGTTCATGCGTTTGCCCCGGCATGCCGCCGCCGCCGCCACCGCTATCCATGTACACTCGGCCGGACCTCTGGGAGATCTCCAGTGGAGATCTGCTGGCCATTTACAATGAGAGTATTAGCCATGGATCGACAGACACAATGGAAATCACTCAAGCAGCCGGCTGCTTGCCCTGGGGGTGGCGACACAGATCGGCGCTGCGGGTACTGACGGGTGGCGGGAGGCGGAACCCTCCCTGGAACCCTCCCCAAGCTGCTGCAATTCCTTACACCATTGAAATCTCACACTATTGAAATCTCGTGCATGGATATCACAGGGCATGGGCAAGCATGAAATAAACAACGCCGGCACGGCAGCGCCACATCAACGCCGCCCACCGCCCGTGCCACAGCGCAGTGCCCCGCTTTTGCGGCTCAGCCGGCGCAGCGCCTGGTGGTGACGCTGATGATCTGGCCCAGGGGACAGTGCAGCCCCACGCTGCACATGAAGTGCCGGTTGCCCGCCTTGGTCATTGCCACGCTCTTGTAGCCGCCCAGCGTGGTGCGTGCCAGCGTGACGCCGCCAGCGCGGCTGCAAGTGCGGGTCTGCAGGCGCGGCCGAGGCAGGCATCGAGGAGGGTGAGGCGTGCGCAGCCGGCGTGCACAGTCGGCTGCGCTCAGGCTGGGCGCTGTGCAAGGCAGGCAGGCGGCATGGCAGGCAGGCTGGTGCCCTTGCGGCAGGCGCCTGCCTCTGCTGCCGCCGCGGGCGACGGCGCCCCGCGCTGGTCCCAGCAGGCGGGCAAGCCTGCATCGCCAGCAGTGCGCTGCTGCTGCCAGCCCTCACGGTGCAGCCCTCACCTTGGTCTCCACCAGGTCGTGCTGGGAGGGCTTGGGCCAGACAAACACCACCTGGTCGCCGATGCAGGCGTTGATGTTGGCCAGCCGCTTGCCGTGCACCCACCCCACACTGATGACTGCATGCCCAGGGAATGCATCAGCGGGATGTAAGAGACCGGGAGGACGGCGATGCAGGGGTCAGGCAGCCCCAGCATGCATGCAGCAGCCGGAACGCCGGCCGCTGCGCCGGCTGCAGCCGCGTGATGGGTGGCGCCAGGCGGCTTGGCGGCAGCGCTGGGGTGATGGCAAGGCGGGCGGGCACAATGCGCCATCACACAGCTTCCAGTCGTCCTCAGGGGCGTCTCAGCTGCGTTTCAGCGTCGCACCTTTGGCCTGCGAGGCTGCCATCAAGCTACACATCAGCAGCAGCGCAAGGATGGGGCCGGCAGCGCGGCGCACATTGCTCCCCGCCATTGCTGGTTGATGAAAACTTCAATTGCAGAAGAGACTGTTGCGGGTTATCGCATGTGACAGGCGGGTGGCACGACCGGCCGGACGGGACGTGCAGGGCGTGCAGGGCACACTCCTTCAGGCGAAGGGTCATTTTTTCAGCACGCTCCGGCGCATGCTGGCGTCATGTATGCCTGACACCGACTTCCATCGATCGTTATCGCTACGCTGTCTTCCCGTCCCGTCCATCCTCCTTCCCCCCGCCACAGCCGCAGCTGCCGCCATCACAATGGCTGCATATCCCAGGGCGCTGCTCCTCCTCCTGGCGACCTGTCTGGCAGGCGAGTGCCGCATTTAGCACAGAAACGGAAGATGCGCGCTGGTGGAGGCTGCGACAGCCTCGCAACTGCCATGACCCAGGCGCCGCCAGGCGCTGGCGGCGCCGCACCCTGCGGGCACGGTGCGTCATGAAAGATCCCCGATCTTGACAGGCGTGCATTCACGCCTCCGTGCAGGCTGCTGGACTGCGCATGCCGCGGCCTCCAGAAAGTGTATGGTGAGGCCGGGCAGCCAGCGGACTCACCCCTGCTGCCAAAATCACCACCATGCCTGCGGCAGCCCACTGGCGGCTTCGACTGGCTTGCCCCTGCATGCCCCTGGCACTACATGAGGTGCCGCACCATAGCAACTCACCAGGGGGATTACTGGCGCGCTGCTGGCCGATCCCATGCTGCAGGTGGCGGCGCCAGGGAGGACCGCCCCGGTTGGCGGCGTGGGTGAGGAGCTGCGCTGTGCTCAGCGCTGACCGGCGGGCAATCCTGCCAGTGACTGCTAGTGCAGAGTGGCTGATCAGCCGACGGTGCATGCATCCAACCAGCAACCCCCTGCATGCCCGCCCGCCTGCCCTCCGCCTGCAGTCGGCTTCATCTCCAAGCCCCTGACCTTTTCCAACGCCCTGGCCCTTGCCTTTGTGGGCGGAGAGCTGTTTGAGGGAGACGCCCACTTCATCAAGCAGAACTGCCCGCCGCACACGGGTGAGCTATAGCGGCAGGGGAAGCGCGGTGCCTGGTGGCTGTTGGCCGCGGGGGGCGGCTGCTGCTTCCCAGTGGCATGCGCCTCGCTTGCCAGCGACATGCCCGCTGACAGCGGCGCGGGGGAAGTAGCCTGCAAACCGCAGCAGGAGGTGCTGGCCACCAGCCGCCACCTCGTGCTTGCACTGCTGCCACCACCGCCGCGGCGGCGCGGCCGAACTGTTTGCGCATGCCCCCTGGCGGCTAAGCGGCTGCAGGCGCCACCGCTGATGAGAGGATGACCATCAAGGTGCAGGGTGTGTGCACCAAGGTAGGCGGCTGCCTGGCCACCCCTCCCGACCTGTCCCGCCAAGCGTCAATCGCTCGAGTCGGGCTGGGGGAACGGGCAGCAAGGCCAGGCACTGCTTCCCGCCTGCCTGTCTGCCTGCCTATTCACCTGCAGAAGGTGTTTCGCCTGCCTGATTGCCTGCCTGCCTGCTGCCTGCAGGCCAACATCGCCACCAGCTCCACACTCTACCGCGTCCAGGCACTAAGTGAGTGTGCGTGGGCTGCGCCGCCCTGCAGCCGCCGCTACCCCGCCTGAGGCAGCGCCCACCCCGCACTGGCCGCCGCCAGCGGCATCGCCCTCCATGGCATTGGAGGCTCCCGCTCTGCCAGCGCTCTGGGGCAGGGGCGCGGAATCCAGCGCTGCTGCCGCCCCGCTTGGGGTGCTCGCCCGCCACCTTCCGCGCAGTCGGCTACCCCTGCAAGGGGCGCGGCGCCAGCACGCTGACCACCAAGGCTGGAAAGTACGCCTGCCCCAAGAACCGCTTCTGCGTGCGCCTCTACGTCACTGCCAACGCCCCATTCGCCTTCGACTTCTCCGCCCTCACCGGAATGGCCAGTGAGTCCTGTGGGGTGCCAGTCATGCTGGAGTTGTGCAGTGCTGCTCTGAGTCGGGATGGCTGGCAGCAAAAGCGGCAGCAGCGCCTGGCTGCCAGCGACTCGGTGAGAAGGCGGCGTGCGTGCTGCGCCTCTGACCGGCCTGCAGCTGGCGGCGAGGGCGAGGGGGAGGGCTACGGCGAGATCCTCACCTCCCTGCTGGACCTGAAGCTCAAGGCCGCCAGGCGAGTGCGGGCTGTGTGCACCTGGCTGGCCAGCAGGGCGGCTGGCCTGCTTGCGCCGAGGGACGCCGCCACCTACCAGCTGGCTTGTCACTGGCAACGCACATCGACCGTCGGCACGTGCATGCAGGTACACCTGAGTCAACCATGGCACGAGCGTTTGGTTAGGCTGCTCTGGGGGTGTTCAATAAAACACCCAGACGAGAGCGGCCATCCGGAAACGTAGTTAGCCGGAGGAACTCAGTGCTGCGGCGGCAGAAAGAGCGTAGCCCAATTCAGCATTATTCATTATTAAGACTGTTACTGCAGTTCGAATGCTTTCTGTAGCAAATATTTAAGTCATTTCATATGGAGAGAAACAGTCAACAAGGGCGGCGCACAGCGTGCATGTCATCCATAGCACGCAGCACAGGAGGCGCAGGGCACGCGCGGCCCGGGGACATGGCCTAGCCACAGTGTGACAGCACTTGTTCGCAGTGGGCACAAGCTGAGAGGTCGTGGGCTAGAGACATCAGCTGTGTGCGGCCCATGCTTTGTGTCCGGGCCGCCAATGCCATCCCGGACAGAAACACTCTTATGGCTGCTCGCATGTCTGGCATTGTGCTGCGGGATGCCCACCGGACCAGCAGGCAACAGCGGCAGCAGCAGCAACAGCGGCAGCCTGGCGAGCGGCGGCGGCGGCGGCGGCAACAAGGGTACCTTGCTGCCGCTTTGCCAGCATCCACGCCCACCCCCCGTGCTCTGGTGATGCTGAGAGTGTTTTGTTGCTGTGCTCGTGCAGTGCAACCCCGGCTGGAGATCAACCTACTCATGACGGGACCAGCCTATGCCAAGCAGCGGGTGAGCTCGTGGCACGGTGCGGCACCCACTGTGCGGTGACGCCGCTCGTTGCCTTGGGATAGCGGTTGTGACCATGCTGCCTACAGCCCACCTGGACCAGCAACGCGCCGACAGCACACCCGCGCGTGTGCAGGACCTATTCCTGTGGGCGCTGCGGCGGCAGCAGGACAGGCCCCACGCCGACCCCCGCTCCTTCTACCAGCTGATGGGAGTTCACGGCGTGCCGTTCCAGCCGTACAGGGGCCTGGCTCCACCCGGCCCCCCCTGCAACTCCACGCTGCAATGGTGCGCAGCGCGGGGCTGCGCCCGGCGTTACCGGCAGGCCCTGCTCTCGCCTGTGCGCAGCTACTGCGCCTGTGGCATGTGTGCTGGCCAGCCTCTCTTGCCGACGGGAAGAGGGAGGCTGAGGCCCACTCACTTTGCCTGTAAAGCCATCCACACCTGGCCCCGCCGCCGCCGCAGGTGCGGCTACTGCCACCACGGCGACCACCTGTTCCCCACCTTCCACCGGGCCTACCTGCTCTTCCTGGAGCAGCATCTGCAGCCGGAGGCGGCGGCGGCGGCGCGGGCCTATGCCCGCGTGCTGCCGGGCCAGGCTCGGGCGTGGCGCCGTGCGGCGGCAGCCCTGCGCGTGCCGTACTGGGACTTTGCATCGGGCGCGGCGGCGCGCGCCGGCATCCCGCCCTTCTTTGTGCAGGCGAGTGGAGCGACCGCTGCCCGTTGCCGCAGGGCCGCGCGCCCGCAGGGCCGCAGTGCTGCAGGTCCCTGCATGCTCTGCAGAGCTGGGCCACCTCTACTATGGGCACAGCCGCTCGCGTTTTTCCTGCCGCCAGCGCGAGCCGGCGCTGACAGTCTGCCGGGGGTGGGTGTCCGCAGGATGAAATCACCGTGCTTAGCATGCGTACCGGCAAGCCAACCAACATCTCAAACCCGCTCAGGTACGCTCAGCAAGAGCCTGTTGTGCCCACCGGGCGTATGGCTTCCCTCCAGCCCGCCCTGCACAACGCCCCACCTTCCGCGCATCTCGGGCGGCATGCCTGCAGGCAATACCGCTTCCCGCTGCCCACCGGCCTGCCCGCCGACGATTTTCCGAGGTTCAGCCCGCGGGGCACACTGACGCTCAGGTGGCCCCAGGCCGCTGCCAGTGGTTCAGCCATGCGCAGCAACACCTCCGCCCTCAACGCCTCGGTGCTGGCACACAGGTGCGGGCGGGGCCTGGTGGGTATGGAGGCGGACGCAGGCGGCGGCTGAGGCGGCACTCCACATCGGGGAGCATGTGCGCTGCTGTGATCCGGGGCAGCACACCATCAGCCTACTGGCGCCATGCAATGTTGACTCAACTGCCCCCCCTTGCCCCTCGTGCACGCAGCGGCGGCGCGTGGCGGGAAGGCGTGCGGCAGCTGCTGGCAGAGCCCGACTGGCACTGCTTCAGCAACCACGAGGCGCCGCTCAGGGTGCGCGCCGCGGCGCCCTGCTGCCGTGCAGCCTGCGGCAGCAGCTCGCGTGTGTGCATGCCATTGTGCAGTGCCTGGCGACAAGCTGCCTGCCATCCTGCCATGCAGTCTCACAGTGAGGCTCTGTCCCTATCCCTGTTGTTACTGCAGGAGCCCCAGCGCTGCCGGGCCCTTTCCTCCCTCGAGTTTGTGCACGACCTGCTGCACAGGGGCCTCGGGGGACCCAGCGGCCACCTGGTGTGTACCGCCCCGTCCCGCTGCCGCTGCCCTGACCGTGCACGCCACCCGCTGTCATGCCCTCTCACAAAGCAGCCCTGCCCTGCACCACCCAATCCGCCTGCCCACCCTGCCCTTGCTGTCGCCGGCCCCTGCTGCAGGCGCACACCAGCATCGCCGCCTTTGACCCGCTGTTCACGCTGCTGCACGCCAGCATGGATCGTCTGCTGGCCATGTGGCAGCTGGCCCACCCGCACGACTGGGTCAGCAGTGGCGTCGCCGGCGGCGGCACTCTCGCGGTGCCCAGGGGGAGCAAGGTGCGCTGACTCAGCAGCGGCGCTCAGCATGGCAGGGTGGCACAGGGTGGGCCGAGCCTCTGAAGAGGCTCGTCCCAAGCTGGCGCACGGGGTGCCTGCTCGCCTCCCAGGCGGACCACCCACAACGCTTGCCGTCCCTGCATGCGTGCATGCCCTCGTGCGGGCCTGCCTGCCTCCCCATTGCCCACCCGCATGCCCGCTGCCCCTCTTCCTGCGGCTGCAGGTCGGCGTGCACACGCCGCTGGCTCCTTTCCTTCGAGCAGGCATCCAGCCTGGTGCTGCACCCGCCTGGAATGCCGCCGCCTTACACACCAGCGCAACTCTGAGGAGCTGGCGTCGGCTCGGGTACACCTACCCTGGCCTGGACAGAGTTGCGTGCGGCAGCAGCGCTGCAGGCCGGCTGAAGAAGGTGGGCTGGCCACCTGGCCCCAGCTTTGGGCAGCGCTTAAGTGCCAGGTGGTTCATCCGCTAGCCAACTTGCGCGGCCATGCACCGGGCTGGCTGCCCCCAAAGCGCTGATTTGCGACCTCCTTGCCACATGCAGTTGCTGGCAGCGTACCCCATGCCTGCCGCCTCCAGCAAAGGGGCCTGGGCTGGTGGGCTGCTGGCAAAATGAGTATTTACAGAGCATCCCGGGATCAATTATGTGTAACGCCTGCCACGCCTGGCTAGCAGTCCCAGCAGACGCCGCCGCAGCCAGCACTTCCCACGGGCGTGCCCGTGCACCAGCCAACTGCCCTGCCCAAGCCGCACCACGGTTCACAGCCACAGGAAGCCGTCGCGGCGCTCGGTGAGCGTGCGCAGGTGCTTGCGCAGCGCCGCCACCTCGCCGCTCAGCGCCTCGTTGCGCTCTGTCAGCTGCTCCACCAGCTGGTACATGGAGGCCTGCTGCGCCTGGTGGGCCTGCGGGCGAGAAGGGAGGACATGGGGGACGAGACCTGGTTCAAGGTACGATCGGGTAGGGGTGTGTGGCAAACCAAAGCAGCGGAGCACTGCCCGCATGGGACCCAGCGCTGCATACACCCCCACCCCTGCCCCCACAACACACACCGACCTGGAACTGGGTGATCATGTCGAGGTGCATGGCCCAGATGTCGTCCCGCAGCCCAGCGGGCGGTACCGCCGACTGGGCGCCGCTGCCGCCACCTGCCACGGGCCCTACCCCCGCCCCGCCGCTCAGCGCCTCGTAGCTGCGCTGCGCTGCGGCAAAGCTAAATTCGTACTGGCCATAGCGGGTGTCTGCTGCTGCTGCGGCGGCGGCGGGCTGCTGGTGGTGGTCCGCAGCCCAGCCTGCGGGCGGGGCCGCCTCTGCGTCTGCTGGCACCGCGCCGATGGACCACTGTGCCATGCTGCCGGAGCCAGCTGGCGAGGCCTGCGCCACCGCGGCAGAGGCGGCCTTGATCTTGTGGCCAGCCAGGCCGCCGGCGCCGCCGGCCGCGTGCTGCTGCTCCGCGTCCCGCGCAGCGTGGGCTGCTGGCTGCTGCTTGGCAGCAGCCTCGGAGCGAGGCGAGGTGCCCGGCGACGGCAGCGGCAGGTTCTCAGCAAAGGAAGGCGAGGCTTGCAGTGGCGGCTCCGGGGCGGCCGGCAGCGGCGAGGGCAGGGCCGGCAGCATGTCATGCCCAGCCACGCCGCAGGGGCTGTTGGTCCGCTCGCCCAGCACGCTGCGCTGCTGCTGCTGCTGCTGCCGCTGCTGCTGCCGCAGGGGAGACGCAGCTGCAGGCGCGGCCCGCATGCCTGGCAGAGGGCTGATGGCCAGCGGCGCGGGCCTGTCGCTAGGCAGGCCTCCCAGCGGCGACACTGCCAACGGCGGGGGCGGCGGTCGCCCTGCACCTGCGCCTGCTCCACTGGCCGCCTGCTGGCGTGCAGCAGGCGGTGCCGCCAGAGGCGTGATGTTGAGCCCCGCCGGGGGCGCCGCGGCTGCCAGCTGCTCCAAAGGCGACATGTGCTGCCGCTGATGGTGCTGCGGCTGGGGCGAGCCACCATGCGCGCCGCCTGCCAGGCTGCCGCCAAGAGGCGTGATGGCCAGCTGCTGCATCCCTTGCCCCACCGCATGCACTGCCTCCTGCTGCGGCTGCTGCTGCACCGGGGTTACCTCTCCTGCAGCGGCTGCCGCGCCGCCGCCGCCTCGGCTGTGCCGTGCTGCCATGCCAGGCAGCGGCGTGATGGCCAGGGCAGGCGGCGGTGCAGCGGCAGGCTGCAGCGGCGTACTGCGAGCCATCCCGGCGCCGCTGGCTGGCGCTGCCGGTGCCGCTGCTGGCGGGGAGGTGGAAGGGGAGGCCGGGGCTGACATGGATGCCCGCTTGTCGCCGCCAGCAGCGGTGCCTGCAACCCACGCAGGTGGCAAGACACAGTGAGATGCGTTGCCCACCGGCCTGACTTGATTCACATAGAAGCAGCCGGCTGTTGCGGCCAGCAGCAGCCAGGCAGCCAGGGGCAGGGTTGCGGGAGGTGCAGGCAGCGGGCGCGGCACCTGCCAGGCGGCTGCGGGCGGCGAGGTGGGGTTGCACCAGGGCGGCAAGCTTGGCCCTGATGGCGGCAGCGGGCGAGGCGGCGGCCGCCCTGGCTGCGGCGCGCGCGGTTTTACCTGACTGACGGGCCGCGTGCGGTCTGGGGGCTGCCGCTGACGCTGGAGGCGTAGCAGCGACGGTCTGTACGCTGGAGGATGCGACATGGGCGGCCGCCGGCACCCGCGAGCCAATGGATGCTTGCGTCGCCCCTGCCGACGCCGCCGCCCCTACCGATACTGCCCCTGCCGAGGCTGCCGGGGCGGCTGGCGCCGTGGCCGGCGTCGCGCCAGCACCTCCCGTCGCCGTCATGCCCAGCCGGGAAGGCCCCGCAGGCTGCGTGTTCCTGGCAGGCACAGAGCGGTGGTGCTTGGAGCTGGAAAGGCTGGAGTAGCGGTGCTGCCAGTGAAGGCCCGTGACGGGGTGGCGGCCGGGGAAGCGCAGGGTGTGCAGGGGCTGGTGGGTGTGGCGAGGGTCATAGAGCAGCACAGCACCGTCTGCAGACCAGACCAAGAGACAAACTTGGCTTCACACTGGCCAGCTGGGAAACAGTATCTGGCCGGCAGTCACAGGCGCGCAGCGGCGGCAGGGTGAGGTACAGTACGGTGCAGGCAGCCGCGGCCTGCAGAGGGTTGCTTCACGATGCTGCGGACGGGCCCAGCACGACCCGCTCATGCAGCTTGCGGGAGGCGCAGTGCGCCATGCGAGCGCAGGCGCAGCTGCCGCAGCTGAGCCTACCCGCAGTGCCCACTCCCAGAAGCGAGTGGTCCTCCTTCACCATCAGAGCCGTGGCGGGGGCCCCCACAGAGAAGGCAGACACATAGCCGGGGCCCGACTGCCGGTCCTGCGCTTGGCGGCGGGCATGGGATGCATGGCAGCTCGCCAATGTGCGGCAGCGGCAGCGGCGCAGCAGGCAACATGCACAGGCGCATGCAGCGGCGGTGCGGCAGCAGCAACAAGGGTGTGCCGGCGTGGGCGCCCACCTGCAGGCACACTCGGCCATCGTCGCCGGCGCTGTACAGCCAGCCCGGGCGCAGCGGTACGAATGCCAGCGCGTGTACTGCGGCGTGCCCGTGCAGCTCAGGATACTCCTCCCTCAGCCGCAGGCTGGCCACATCCCACACAGCCACGCCGCCCCGCGAGCTGCCAGCCGCTACAGTTGGCTCCATGGCAGCCAGCGACAGGCAGCGGCGAGGCGAGGCGTCGGCGGCGGGAGACAGCGCCACTGCCGCAGCGCCGCCGCCGGGCCGGTGCGGGTCGGAGTAGAGGCACACGGCGCCACCGGCGCTGCAGGCGCAGACACGGGAGACGGAGGGCGAGGTGGGGATGGCTCGAGCCTGATGCCAGGGCACCACACGCTCCCACTGGTGCATGGCGTCCTGTACAGCTGTGGTAACCGCAGTACCGCACAGTACCGCACCTGGCAACCGCCAGGAACTTGTCGTCGTGCTGGTACTCCAGCGCCGTCACGCCGCCCACGTGCCCCCCCAGCTCAACCGTGGGTTGCTGCACGCGGGGAGAGGACCCAAGGTAGAGCAGCGGATTGGCCGGGCGCAAGGCTACGTCATCAAGCCGAGTTGAAGCTTGTGAGATGCATGACGAGGGCGCTGCCACCTCCCGGTCCCGCGCTCGCGGCAAGATCCGGCTCCGCGCAGCCTCCTCCCCCATGCGCCCGCCCAGCCCCACCTTTTGCTGCATGTCGAAGATGAAGAGCGATCCGTTGGAGGAGCCGGCGGCGAGGCGCTTGGATCCCGCAGACCAGGAGAGCGCGGCGATGGAGCCGTAGGCGGCGGGGTGCGAGCCGTCCCGCGGCAGCACGCACATCACCTGCCCCGACGCGTACAGCAGCTGCACGGTGCCGTCGGCGCAGCCGCTGGCCACCACCTTGTTGTTGCGGTTCCAGCGCGCTGCGTTGACGGCGGCGCCGTGGGAGACAACCACCTCGCCAAACGCGGCGCCGCCTGCCAGGTCCTGCCGCAGCAGGTGCAGGCTAGTGCCGCTGGCAGCCACAAAGCTGTCAGAGGCGAACTCGGAGGGACGGGACGACATGGCTGCAACGCTGCAGATGGATGCACGGCAGCGGATGAAAGGGCAAGTGAGGAATAGGTGACAGGCCAGCGCAAGGCCATCGCTCCCGCCACCCGCCGCCGCCGCCAGTGGCCGCCATCCGCCCCGGGCACTGCCGCCGGCTGGTTCCACTCACCAATGCTCACTCCGTCGAATGCTGCGGGGGTGGGTTAGGCGTCACCGGCCGGCGCGCTGCCCGGGAGTTCAACCATAGACAGCTGCGGGCGGCCTGGCGCTTGCCCTCCTGTGGCGCTGCTGTCGATCCGCAAACCAGGGTGCCAGACAGCGGTGCAGAGATGCGCAGCGCTTCGCCTCCCTCCTTTCTCGCGAGAGCTGGCACAGCTGGCGGCAGCCGAAGAAGAAAAAGCTTTGGCATTGGGCTGTCCCGCCCTTTCAACCGCAGCGATGCCCCGAAGACGTCCATTATTAAACGAGGCCGCCGCTGGTGGTCACCATGCCGCCGCCGCCATCTGCCGCCGCCAGAACCCTGCTTTGCACTCTTGCGTCTCTTGGCGTCTTTTCGAAACAACATGGAGACGCAAAGATGCCTACTGAATCCTCACATCGACTCTAGGGGCAGGGCAGGTGCGACACGGCTTCGGCTCTACAGCAGTGGGTGGTGTAACCAGCGCGTGCCGGTCGGCGCCACCCAGCAGTAAGCCGCGGCACTTCTTGGCACACAGGCATACCAGAGCTGCATGCCCTTCCGAGTCACATGCTTGTACGGGAGACAGCACAGTTGGGAATCCTACTGTGCCGGTTTGCAGCAGGCCCAAACCCCAACTGCCCTAGCCGCTTGCCGCCACCGTACCGGCTGCAGGCTTCTGCTGCGCGCAGCAGCGCGCTACCCCACATGCGCCAGCTGGAGGGTCGCGCCGATGAGGTTATGTGCTTGTTGCTGTTATGAAAGGCTTGGCACATCAACCAGTGCATTCCCTTGAGTGTGTATCCCGCGGATGTGCCAGCAGCGCGGCTAACGTGCGGCGTGCCTAGTTGGCGCCGCCATCCCACCCCCCGCTGCAGGCCATTTTGCGGGCTCCAACCGAGCGCCGCGCGGCCTATTGTTCGTCCTTTGATCAACCCCAGGCTTCCTGGCCCTTGTTCACACCACTCCGACATGCCCTGCTTGCCTGCTACATAGGACAGTGAGCTGGAGACTCACAGCGCGCTCGGGAGTCCCCCCTTGGCCACAGCAGCGGCGGCGATTGAGACTGGAGGGCTTGAGTGCCGGGGGGCATTGGGGCTGCCCAGGCCAGCGTGCTGGCTGGCGTCCAGCAGCGTCCCGGCCGCACCACGGGTCCCACGATGATCGCGGGAGCCGAGGAGCAGACCAGGTGGGCAGGCATGGCTCCAAAACTGATCGCTGCGCTGAGGGCCAGCACTGTGGGGCAGTCCCAAGTGGTGCGCAAATGTTCAAGATGCCGGTCCGCATCCACAGACAGCGGGGGGGGCAGGTGTGGGTTGGGGTGGGAGCTGCCCGTGGAGCGGGCCTGTCCGCTCCGCTCGTGTTTGCCGCCTGCAGGCGTGCATCTTGCCACACGGGGCAGCATGGGGCTGCTGGGATCGCCAGTCCGGCGGGCCATCTCCCCGGCATGCGGGGGGACGGGAACGTGCATGCTACTGCAGGCAGGCTCATGTGGTTGCCCGACCGTGCTGCCTGCCCCTGCAGGACATTGCACGATGGAGGAAGTGAGCTGGGGCCAAGCACAGCAGCCACCGGCCTTCCGGCGGCGAGCCACCAGCGGGCAGACGACGGCGCCCCACCACCCGACGCCGACGCGGCCACTCCTGTAGCTGCTGGCAGCGGCGGCGGGGTGGAGGTGCCAGCACAGGCGGTCGTCTCGCCACCCCTGGCAGGCCGCAGCAGCCCGCGCGTGCTAGCCAGCAGCGGCGGCGACGCGGCGGCGGGCCAAGCGCGTCTCACCAGCGGCGCCGCCAGGCGCTCTGCCCGGCCGTCCAGCATGAGAGCACTGCAGCTGGGCATCAGCCGCGGGAAGGACGCAGCAGTGGATCCCAGCCGCAGCGACAGGGGCGGCAGGTGAGGCCGCGCATGGCCCGCCGGCCTGCTTGGCCGCGTTCCAACAACCAAGCAGCGCACCACCCCCCGCCTTCCCATCCTCTCCCTCCCAGTCCCTGCTGCCTGCTGTACCCCTCGCAGGCCCGCCGCCGTCGCCGCCCCAGCACCAGCACAGGCAGCGGCAGACCCCTCTCCGCCGCGCGTGTCCCGCTACCGCGGCGTGGTGTGGCACAGGAGCAACGGCAAGTGGGAGGCTCGCATCCACGAGGCCGGCAAGCAGCGGTTCCTGGGATACCATGCCACAGAGGAGGCGGCGGCGCGGGCCCACGATGAGCAAGCGGGTGGGTGGGCACGCTGGGGGGCTGGGTGGGGAGCCTGGGGCTGGGTGGGTGGGCGGATGGTTGGCTGTGGGGTGTCTGTGGGTTGGTGGGAGCCACGCAACTCAAGCCGCTGTTGGCTCCTGCCCTCCTCTTGTGTGGAGCGCAGTGCGGGTGCATGGGGACCTCAGCAAAGTGAACTTTCCGGAGCGATATGCCCACCTGGGGCAGCCGACGGCGGCGGCAGGCAGCGGCGGCAGGGCCCGCAGCCGCAGCCGCAGCCGCGGCAGCCCGCGCCGCTCGTCCCGCAGCCGCGGAGGCGGCGCGGCCGGCGGCGGCAGCGGCGGCAGCACGCCGCAGAGCGCCGTGCCTGCGGCCGCCTCCCGCCGCAGCCCCTTTGCCTCTGCCGCCGCCGGCAGCGGCGACAGCAGGGACGCTTCGCCTGCTTCCGCAGAGCAGCCCTCATCAGCAGCGGCCGCCACCGCAGCGGCAGCAGCAGCCGGCACCCCCACTGCTGCACCTGCGGGTGCCACCTCAGCGTCGCCGCCAGCTCCAGCCACCGGCAGCGCCCTGCGGCAGCGGCCCGCAAGGGGCGGCGGCGGCGGCCGCGGAGGGCCGCGCGTGCAGCCAGTCAAGGGCTCCTCCCGCTTCCGGGGCGTCTCCTGGAACAGCAGCTGCGGCAAGTGGCGGGCACAGGTGGGGGGCCGCCTCCTGGCTTCTCTGCGCCGCGCCGTGCCGTGCGTTTCTTCTCCGGGTCATTGCCCCCAGTGCTGCGGCGCGCTGCGGTCTGCTGTGCCACGTGCATGCGGCCGCTCTACATCTGTATCGCTCGTTGTACTGCGCCGTACTGTCATGTACCGCAGGTGTGGAAGGGCAGCGAGGTGCACCATGTGGGATACTTTGAGGACGAGGCGGAGGCCGCCCGCGCCTACGATCGAGCCGCGCTGCGCATCAGGTGGGGCTGGTGGGGCCGCTGTCTGGCGCTTTCTGGCGGGCTGGCTGGCTGGGCTGGAGCGCGGGCGGGGGTTGAAGGCTCAGGGGCGAAGTTGAGGGGTGGCTGTGGAGGAGAAGCAGAGGAAGCCGCGGGACGCATGGTTTGTGGAGGGTGGCACGCAGCTGTTGAAGCGCCCGCATGTACCGCTCATGTACTGCATGTACCGCCGGTACCGCAGGGGCCCCGACACACCCACCAACTTCCCGGCGAGCGAATACGTGGATCCAGGTTCGGTAGGGGCCGCAGCAGAGGCCCCTGCTGCTGCAGCTGCCGGCGACCCCGGACAGCAGCAGCAGCCGCAGCCGGCGCGGGAGCAGCAGCAGCAGCAGCAGCAGCAGCAGGCGGCGGTCAAGGAAGAGGAGCATCTGGGCGCTGCGGGGTCTGGCACCGCGACTGCGCCGCCGTCGGGGCAGGCAGCTACGGCCCCAGGGCCGCCCGCCGGCGGCGGCGGCGGCGGCAGCAGCGGCTCGAGCTACCAAGGGGTCAGCTGGGACCCGCTGCGGGCGGGGTGGGTGGCGGAGCTGTGGACGGGCACGCAGCGCCGCCTGCTGGGCGTGTTCCCAAGCGAGCAGGAGGCGGCCCGGGCGTACGACCTCGCCACCCTGGCGGAGCAAGGTGCGGCAACCTGAGGAGGCTGTTGCTGTCAACCACCTGCCTGCCTGCCCACCTGCCCGCCTGCCCGCCTGCCCGCCTGCATGCATGCATGCCACTACGCCTGTGGTTGCCTCAGCCGCAGCGGCAAGTCGCGCCTCCGCTCACATGTTACGGGGAGCTCATACAGTCATGGTGCGCTCATGCACCTACCCACCGACACTTGTGCTGCACCGCCTCGCCCGCTCGCATCCTGTCGCTGCAGGCCCCCAGGCCGCCACCAACCTGCCCCTGGCCGGCTACGACGCTGAGCTGGCGGCAGCGGCCGCGCTGCGCACGTTGGGCCGGGAACCCGTGGCCCACACGCCGCCGCCCCAGCAGCTGGGGCAGGACGCTGGCGGCAAGCAGCAGCAGCAGCAGCAGCAGCTGGGGGTGGGCGGGAGTGGCCAGGGCCTGCCGCCGCCGCAGCAGCAGGAGCAGGGGTTCGGGCAGGCAGGCGGCGGAGGTGCTGCAGCAGCAGGGCTTCAGCCCATGCATGCAGACGGATCGTCTCCCCCCAGGGACGCAGCCGCCCTGCTGGCAGAGGTGCCGCCGCTGAGCCCCGGACTGGCTGCGGCGGTGGCGCTGGCGGTGCAGCCGCTGCCCTCCTTCAAGCCACTCCTCGCCACGCCGCCTCAGCTGCCCTCTGCGCCCGCAGCAGCGCAGGAGGGGCCGCCCGGGGCTCCCACAAAGGCAGGGGCCGCTCCGTCGGCGGCAGCAGCGGCAACGGCGGCAGCATCTAAGGTGCCGCCGGCCGGGCGAGCAGCTGGGGCACCAGCAGGCGCCCCCGGCGCGGCCGCGGCAGCGGCGCCGGCCGGCCAGAGGGTGGAGGCCCCCGCTGGCGGCAACGTGTCGGCACAGAATCGCTGCTGCGGCAGCAACCGCGGGCTGTCGGCGGTGAGTGAGTGAGTGAGTGAGTGAGTGAGTGAGTGAGTGAGGCTGGCTTTTTCGCTGGCTGGGGTGGCTGGCTCGCCCTGGCTGGCTGGCTGGCTGGCTATTTCTGGCTGGCTCCCTTTCTGTACCTCCCAACTCGCTGCCTTGACACGCCTCCCGCTGCCTCACAACCGCCAAGCCTCCCCTCTGCTTCACCCGCCCTCCTGCCCCGCCCTGCCCCGCGCCCCCGCGCCCCCGCCCGCCGCAGTACAACGGCGTCAGCTGGGACAAGCGCAAGCAGCGCTGGTTCTCGCAGATTCAGCAGCACGGCAAGCGCCACTTCCTGGGGTACTGCGACAGCGAGGAGGCGGCGGCGCGCGCGTACGACAGGTGCGCCCGCCCGTCTCCCGCCGCCGCCCAGCCCCCTGCTCCCCCGCCGCGCAGCTCCCCGCTGTGTGCCGTGCTTGGGGGGGAGCTGTGCGCTGCTGTGTCTGCCTGCTGTGTGTGTGTGTGTGTGTGTGTGTGGTTCCCTCAGCGCAGCTCCCTGCGCGGGTTGCGGGGAGTGGAGTGTAAGAAGGCATCTGGCAGCCCCCTGGGGGACCCGAGTGCAAACTCCCGCCTGCCTGGCCCGCCTGCCTGCCTGCCTGCAGGGCGGCCGTCAGGCTGTACGGCCCGCAGGCCCAGCTCAACCTGCCAGAGAGTGCGGCGCTGGCCGCCGCGGCCGCCACGCCCGCCCAGGGCGCCGCCACCGCCTCTGGAGGCCCCGGGGGCAGCGAGGTGCGCTCCCCATCCCGCGGCAGCGACGCCGGCGGCAGCGGGCGGCAGCGGGCGGCGGGCAGCGGAGCGGGCAGGCATGGGGGGCTGGCCAAGACGACCTCGGATGCAGCGACGGCGGCCGCCGCCGCGGGCGGGATGGCCGCGGCGGCGGCGGCGGCGGCGGCTACCCTGCCAGTGGTGGAGGAGCCAGAGGGGCAGCATGACCCTGCATCTGGCAGCGCCCTGGTGCCTGCAGCAGCCGACCGGGCAAAGGCATTCCAGCAGCAGCAGCAGCAGCAGCAGCAGCAGCAGCAGCAGGGGCAGACGCCCTCCCCCCTGTCGGCCATCGAGCAGCTGGCTCGCTTGCAGCAGCTGCACCAACTGGAGCAGCAGCACGAGCTGGCACAGCAGCAGCAGCTGTTGCTGCAGGCCGTGCAGGAGAAGCAGCGGTGGCACGAGCAAGAGCAGGCGCTGCTGCTGTCGGTGCTGCAGCGGCAGCAGAGCCTGGAGTCGCTCCCAGCGCTCCCGCCCAGCCTGGCTCTGGCGGCCACGGCTCAGGCCGCGTCGCAGCCGCCCGCCTCGCAGCAAGCATTGCAGGGCCTGCTGCAAGCGCTCGGCGGTACAGGAGGTGGCAGCGCCAGCCTCCCGGCAGCTTCCCTGTCCTCCCCTGACCTGGGCGCTCTGGCAGCCAGGCTGCAGCAGCAGCTGCAAGCGGCAGGCACCCAGCAGCAGCAGCAGCAGCAGCAGCAGCAGCAGCAGCAGCAGCAGCAGCAAGCGCCCCTGGAACGCCTGCTGCTTGCCCAGCTGGCCGCGCAGCAGCAGGCACAGCAGCAGGCACACACCGGGCTGCCGCTGGCCGCCCCGCTTCAGCACCAGTGGGCCCTGCTGGCAGGCTCAGACGGCGGCAGCGGCAGCGCGCTGTCTGGCCACAAGCGCGGCAGCGATGAGCTGGAGTCGGCCATGCAGCAGCTGCTGGCTGCGCAGCAGCAGGCGGCGCCGCAGCCACAGGCGAGCAACCTGCAGCATGCCTGCGCACATGCCTGTGAAGAGAGCACCTTGCCAGCCATGTTGCACATCTCCAGGGGTGGTCGGTGCCCCCTTCCGCCCTCGCTGCCGCCACCAGTAACCCGCGCTTGCTGCTGTGCTCTGCGCGGCTGCCCCGTTGCAGGCTGGGGGCCAGCCGCAGGCGCAGCCGGCCGCCACCGCAGAGTTCCTTTCCCTGGTGGCCAAGCGTGCCCGCATGCTGGCGGAGGCCGCCTCGGCAGCGCTCCTGGTGCTGCCTGGCGGGGATCGAGCGGGCAGCGCACCCGCCGCGGCAGCGCCCGCGCCGTCGGCGGCAGGCGCTGCCGCCCCTGCAGTGCCCGGCGACACCACGGCGCCAGCCCCGGCCTCGGCGGCGGGTGCGGGGGGGGAGCCAGGCGGGGCGCCTGTAGCAGCGCCCGCGCGCTCCCGTGGCGGCGCCCAGCCGGAAGGTGAGCCAGCAGCATCCGGGGGCGCCGCCGCCGAGGGCGCAGCAGCCAGCGGCGGCTGCGAGCCGGGCGCGCGGCGGCAGCAGCCAGCGCCGCCGTAGCGTCTTGGGCGCTGCCGTTGCCCTGGCATGCCTGCCAGCCCCGTCTTGGGAGCCTTGCAACCACCAAATGCACCTTTACTTGCCAGCAGCTTCCCAATGAACCATGAGACAGTATCCTACAAGCAGAACGCTTAGTCCAATAGCTGCTGCCGTGGGCCACACCCGCTGTGTGTTCGGAACGCTGAGTCAGCCTGCCGTCGTGTCCGCGCACGTGATGTGCCCTGGCCTTGCTTGTTGTGTATCCCGCCGCCAATGTGCGCCTCCTCGCCTTTTGCAGTACCTTTCAATCAGCCTGCGCCTCGCCAGCTTGCACACAACATTGACCTGCCGCCCGTCCCCTCCGGAGTTGTCACCCCGTTTTGATTTTTCCTGCTGCTGCCCTGGCGCTTCCCTGGCACCATGCCACCCCTCGGCAGCTGGGCGGCCCTACTGAAGCATGATGAGTCGCCCCCCACACAGCATTGCCGCACTTGCATGGACCCCCGCACGAGCGTCTGGCGCGGCGGTTGCGGTGCTGGCGCCCCCGTTGCCACCTGCCCCTCCTGCTGCAGGCCCCCCATGCCGCCTGTGAACCCCAGTGGGTCAACCGTTGGCCCATCTGATGCTCTCACTCCGTGTCCCTCTTGTTTCTTGTGCTTTCCGCCATGCCTTTGCTGACATGCCGCGTTGAGAGCTGGCCCTGCCCACAGCACATGCCTGCCGTTGCTGTGAGGTGTGCGGCCCAGGCAGCCTGCAGGCTGCAGCTGCCAGTGCTTTTCGCCTTCCCTGTCGCGCTGTCGAGCGTTGTAATGCAGAATGGGCAGCGTACGCTGCCTGCCAGCGAGCATCATCAGTCACCAAAGGCCATGCCACTTCCCAGCGCCTGCGCATTTGAGCAGGCACGAGGGCATGTGCCCCTTCCGCCCCCCTCGAGGGAGCTCCGCCCTAAGCGCCCCTGTGGCCCATTAACCGGTTCACAACCGACTGTTAGGGCCAGGGGTGCTGCTGGGGCCGTGCCCCTCACAGGTGTACTCTGCCTGCCGACCCTGCATGCCTGTGGCTGGGGCAAGGGGTTCGGGGTGGTCTTTCGGGCTGCAATGTGGTGGCGGCGCTGGCGGCGGCGGCCGCCGCGGAGGTCTCACCGCCCGCGATTGACAGCCTCCGCAGGGGCCAGCGCAGCGCCGGGTCTCGGCGCCCCCACGACGGAGTTTGCTTTCGCCCAATTGGTCCCAAATGGATGATCTGCTTGCAAGCGGAGCTGCGCCACGGTCCGCTGCAGGACCAGCCAGCCGACGGCACCTGCACAGACCGCTCTCCTCCTCTTTTGCCGCTGACATACGCTTCAGCAGACGATCTTAGACCTCACAAATGCATTCGTAGGGGGCTGACCCAATGTTTTCGTTGCCTCCCCTTTGTGAGGAGCCACGAAGGTGGGGCCTCCCCCCTCGCCCTCGTGAGATCGCCCCCATGTGCCCAAACTCCCGGTAGCATGCATCATGACAGACAGGAGGCGTGGAACCAGTATACTCGCGCCCGCCCTCCCCACCCGCAACTCTTCCAGCGTTCCAGGACCCCTCGGCCCGCCGCAGCGGCTGCCTGAAGGCCGGATGGTGCGCTTGAGCTGGGCAGAAAGCGAAGCGCTGCGAATAACTCACATGCAGCTTCCCCGGTGGATCCGCATGAGCGAACGGGGCATGCCTTCACACCCACGTGGCCCGCGGCATGCGTGATCTGCCCGTGTCTTCTCTCCCCGCCGCATCAGTCCACACCGCGTAGCGCAGCCAGCAAGCCAGTTGGAGCCCCCCCGCGTCATGGAGGGCCAGGAGGGCCCCTTCCTGGAGCCAGAGCATGGCGCGGGCAAGCAGAAGCAGACCCGGCGCAAGAAATCGCGCATGGTGAGCGGGGGAGGCGCGCAGGGCTGCCATCGGGAGTGAGGACCCCTTGGTGTGGCTCGGTTGGCACAGTGGCTGACCGCCGCCTCGCCCAAGCTGCTGCAGGGCCGCCTGCCCAGCGAGATTACGCGGGAGGAGCTGGCGCAGTGGTGAGCCCCAGCAGCCACGCTGCCCACGGAGCCTGCTCTCGCCCTCCTCTCCCTGGGCGCCGGGTTCTGGCTGGGGCGCTGTGCAGAGGGAGTGCGGGGGCGCCCAGCCGGCTGAGTTCCGGCCCCGCCTGCCCAACGCAGAGGGTGGAGGGCCTGCCCAGCGGCGGCTGCTGGGGTGCAGCTTCCTGCCATCCAGCCCGCCCCTCCCTGCCACGCCCTGCGCTCTGCAGGTTCCACCTCCCTGCCGAGGAGGCAGCCCGCGTCATGCGTGTCTCCCTCACCGTCTTGAAGCAAGTGGCACGGCGGCACGGCGTGCTCAGGTGCGCGCCAGCCGTCGCGGCCGCCGCGACGGCTGCCCTCGCCGGCGGCAGCTGCCTCCGGTACTAGCACGCAGCGCCGCGCCGCGCACGTGCCGGCCAAGCAGCGCCAGCACGCCGGCCGCTGCTGGCGGGGCAGAGGGCTGGCGGCAGGCTGCCATGGGGCCGCTCACGGGGCCTCCGGCCCCCAGCCGCCTGGCCAGGATACTCTCTGCCCGCAGAAGCTGGGGTGGAGCGGCTGCCTTGCGCGCCCGGTGGCCGCTCCCCGGCTGGCGGCAATGACGAGCCAGCCTCACACCCACCTTGCCCCATGCTTGGCCCGCCCACAGGTGGCCCTACCGCAAGGTCAAGAGCCTGTCGCGCGCGCTGAGCCAGCCCGCCGGCAGCACGCCGTCCACGCCGCGCGGCAGCCAGCCGGGCGGCACGCCGCTCAGCAGCACGCTGTCAGGTGCGCCGCCGCCGCCGCCGCCGCTGCGGCCGCGGGGCCCGCGGACGCTCCCGCGCGCGGCGCACCACGCCGCCTGGCCACCTGGCCGCAGGCTCCTCGCCGCTGCCTTGCGGGGTGCTGCTGCTGGCGCTGACGCGTGCCCGCTCCCACGCCGCTGCCGCCCGCGCCCCCGCCCCCGCGCGCAGAGCCCGTCGGCATGATGCAGCCTGCGGTGTCGGGGCAGCAGCGCGGCGGCATGAGCCCCAGCCACAGCGCGCTGCTGCTTGACCAGCAGGTGGCGGCGGCGGCGGCGGCCGCCGCGGCGCACCACCTGGCGGGCACCGCCTCTGGCTCTCCTCGCATGCCTCCGCGGCAGCCCTCAGGCCTGAGGCTAGCCATGGAGATGTCGAGCTCCTCTCTGCCGTACTTCCCACCCCTGGGCGCGCAGCAGGCGCAGCAGGCGCAGCAGGCGGCGCAGCAGGCGGCGCAGGCGCCGCCGCTGCCGCCCTCCCTCAGCGCCTCGCACCTGCAGAGCCTGATGCAGCAGGCGCAGGCGTTGGCCATGCCGCCGCACTGGTCGCAGCCGGCGCAGCGGCAGCGGCAGCAGCAGCAGCAGCCGCAGCCGCCATCGCCGCATGCCGACGGCGGCGGCGGCGGCGGCTACCCGGGCCCCTGGCGGCCCGCCCCCACGCCCAGCGGCAACAGCCAGGCGAGCCGGCTGTGGAGCGAGGCGGCGGCGGCGGTGGTGGTGGCTGGTCACCAGCAGCAGCAGCAGCAGCAGCAGCAGCAGCAGGCGCAGGCGTTCCAGCAGCCGCAGGGGCAGCCCGGGCATGCCAGCGTGCCTTCCAGCCCCGCTGTGCCGCGCCTCGTCTCCCTGCACCGCCCCACCGCGCAGCAGTGGCAGCCCTGGCACGCGCTGCCCGCGCAGCAGCAGGCGCCGCTGCCGTCGGCAGCTGCTCCACCGCCGCCGCAGGCGCCGCCGCCGCAGGCGCGCGGCGCGGAGGCCGCGGCCGCGGCGCCGGCGCCGGCCAGCGCCGCCACTGCCGACGGCCACCCGCCGGCAGACAGTGCCAACCTCACCCCCACCTCTGCCGACACGCGCGGCATCGAGGTGCTTCTGTCTGCCATAGACAAGGAGCAGCAGCACGAGCGCCAGCTCAGCCAGCAGCTGACCGACGCCGGCGTGGGCAGCGCGCCCGCGCCCGCCGCCGCCGCCGCCAGCGACCGCGCGGTGGCTGTGTCTGAGGAGGTGGCGGCGCCGCCGCGGCCCTGCGCCGAGGTGGCACAGCACGCGCAGCAGGCACAGGAGGCACAGGCGGCGGCCGCCGCGCCGGCGGGGCCGCAGCAGGAGCCTCAGCAGGGAGAGCCGCAACCTGCGGTCGGCGGCGAGGCGGAGGCCGCAGCAGCAGCAGCAGCTGCCCGCCAGCTCAACCGCATCAGCTCAGATGGCGGCTCCGCAGGCTCCAGCTCAGACCCGCCCCACCCGGCCTCGCGCCAGGCCGACGCGGCCGCCGCGGTGGCCGCCGTGGCGGCGGCGCCGGCGCCCGGGGCCGGCGCCCCGCCCAGCCCCGCCGCCGCAGAGGCCGAGGCGACGACCTCGCGCCCCGCCAGCACCGACGGTCAGCCGGCGGCGGCAGCAGAGCCGCCGCCGCTGCGCCTCGGCTCCGGCGCCTTCCGCCCGCTGGCGCCAGCGCCGCAGCCCGACCCTCCGCCTCGGCCCTCCTCGCCGCCCGCCGCCGGCCCCAGGCCCGCAGCAGCGGCAGCGCCGGAAGGCGGCGCCGACACGTGGCGGGCAGCGGGCGCCGCCGCGGCGGCAGCCCAGCTGCCCGCCAGCCCCACGGCCGCCGCGGCGGCCGCCGCCGGTGACATGTGGGCGGCTGCGGCGGCGGCTGCGGCTGCTGCGGCGGCGGCGGGGGCGGCAGGCGGCCGCCCCGCGGCGCTGCGCCGCCCCTCGCCCTTCACCTCGCGCCGCGCCTCGCCTGGGCCGCCCGCCTCCCCCGCCACCTCCCAGCACGGCAAGGGCCCCTTTGGGCTGGAGCTCTCCCTGCAAGACCTGCTGGCGCAGCAGAAGGCAGAGGCGGCTGCGGCGGGAGGTGAGGAGCGGGTGCTGGGGAGCGGCGCCGCTGTGCTGGGGTTCACTGCTTGCGGGAGGGAGGGCGCGCACCTCGCAGCCCCCACACGCACCCGCCACGAGCTGCCTGCTGGCTGCTGCTTGCTGTTTGCTGTGCTGCTGCGGCTGCTGCGGCACGCTGCGTCGACGGCGCACCTGCCTGTGCCCAGGGTGCCTGCCAGGTGCCGACCCGCCTCCCCTGCTCCCTCCCACCTCCTGCCTGCAGCCGGCGGCGGCGCCGGCGAGCCGCCCACGGCCGGCCTGCCGCGCCGCGCCTCTCTGAGCAAGGAGGGCATGGAGCGGCTGCCCACCTTTGAGTGGGGCGGCGGCAAGTCGCGCTCCCCAAGCCCGCGCCTCGCCTCGCCGCCAGACTTCACGTTTGGTCCCGCGCCGGGCGGCGGCGGCGGCGGCGGCGGCGGCGGCGGCGGCGGCGGCGGCGGCGGCGGCGGCGGCGGCGGCGGCGGCGGCGGCTTCGGCGGCGGCGGCGCATTGGCGAGGGAGGCCGCGCCCGCTGAGCTGGCGGGAGCCTCCCCCGGGGCGCTGTCGGTGCGGCTGGCCACGGCGGTGGGCGCCAAGCGCCCGGCGGCGGCGGCCAGCTGGGAGGCGGTGGCGGGCGCGGGCGGCGGCGCCGCCACCGGCGGCTCGCCCACCAAGCGCGCGCACCTGGCGGCGGGCGCGGCGGCGGCGGATGCGGAGGCGGCCCTTCAGCCGCAGCGCTCCCGCCAGCTGTCCTGCCAGCTGTCGGGCTCGCTGCCGTCTGGCCAGCTGTCTGGCCAGCTGTCGTCTCAGCAGCAGAGCGCCGACACGCCGCGCCACCGCCAGAGCGGCGCCAACCTGGGCCTAGGCAGCCTGGGCCTGGGCAGCGGCAGCCTGGGCCTTGCCAGCGGCAGCCTGGGCCCGCTGGGCAGCGGCAGCCTGGGCCTGGGCAGCGGCAGCCTGGGGCCGCTGGGCAGCGGCGGCCAGCTTGGCGGCGCCTCGGACGGCGGCAGCGGCGAGCTCAGCCTGCCCGCCATCATGGCGCTGCTGCGGGGGGCGGCCGGGGTGCAGCCGCTGCAGGACCAGGCGTGGGAGTCGGAGCGGCAGCAGCTGCTGGCGCTGGTGCTGGCCGGCGGCGGCGGCGGCGGCGGCCTCGAGGCGCTGCTCCGCTCGGCCTCCTGGGAGCGCCAGCAGCAGGCGGCGGCGGCGCAGACGTCGCTGCTGGGCGCCGCCGCCTCGCTGCCTCCCTCCCTGTTCGGGCAGCTGCTCGGCAGCCGCCCCTCGCCGCGGGGCTCCCAGGGCGGTAGCGCCTTCAACGCCTTCCACCCATCCCACTCTGCGCCGGCGGCCATCTTTGCGGCGGCCGGCCAGCAGGGGCAGGCGCCGCGCGGCGCTGGGCAGCAGCAGGGGCCGCCCCCGCAGCTGCAGCAGCTGGCGGTGGCGCAGCAGCAGCAGGCGCAGCAGCAGGCGCAGCAGCAGGCGGCGATGAAGGCTGCTGTACCGGTGATACCGGAGCAGGTGGCCCTGTTCTGCCTGCAGAAGTACGCCAAGAAGCTGGGATACTCGATTGACACGATCGCGCTGCAGCAGGCGCAGCAGGAGGCGGCGGCGCAGCAGGCGGCGGCCCAGCAGGCCCAGCAGGCCCAGCACGCGCTGCTGATGCAGCAGGCCCAGCAGGAGGCCGCCCTCCTGCAGCAGCAGGCGCAGCAGGAGCAGGCGCTGCTGATGCAGCACGCTGCGGCGCAGGAGCAGGCGCTGCGGCTGCAGCAGCACGCGCACGCCAAGCAGCACCAGCACCAGCACCAGCAGCAGGCGCAGGCAGCCCAGCGCCACCAGCACCATCACCAGGCGCCCAACCCGCCGCCGCCGCCTCCCCACGGCTGAGGCGCACCGGCCCATGGCCTCTCCCCGTTTTTGTTTGTCCCGAACTGTCGCCCACGACGCCGCACACCCGAATTTGTTTCTCTCCCCCTTTTCCTCCCCAACCGCGCCCATCACCACGGCCCCCTCTTCCTTCTCAACCTGCCTCTCCTCACCGCCCGCGGCCTGCCTGGCAGTGACGCCACCGCCTGCCCGGCCCCTGCTTACTAACAAAGTCACGCTTCTCTCCAGTACTGCGCCCTATCATTACTGGGATTCCCCTGCCTGGGCGCCCGCTCCTCGCCTGTCACCCCCCTGCTGTACTCCCCTTTCCAGTATATGCGTTTGTACCGGTACGCTTTCCTCTGTAACACGAGAACTGGGAGAGGGGCTAATGCGCTGAGGGAGGAAAAGCTAGCTGGTTGGGGGGCGCACAGAGCGGGAGGCAGAGACATGCGGCAGGGAACAAGCGCAGCTGCACCTGAGCTGCCGGGTCAACCTGCCGCCCTCGCTGCTGCTCACATCTCTATCTCTACTGCCTGCTCCGCCACCGCTGTGGCCAGCCTGGCCTGGATGCTGTGCAGGCGGTGGAGCACCAGTGGGCTGACGGGGCAGCCGTCCCCGCCCGCAGCCGCCTCCTCGGCCGCCGGCAGCGGCAGCAGCAGCGGCGACACCAGCGCCACGCCCGGCACGCGCCGGCTGGGCGGCGCCCCGCGCGCCGACTGGGCGCCTGCCGCCGCGGCTTGCAGGCCTGACAGGCGCAGCGGGGGCAGGGCGCGGGCCCCCGGCTGCGCCTTGCCCAGGCCGGCGGCGGCAGGCTGGCTGGCCGGCGGGCTGTGTCGAGCGGTGATCTCCCCTGCTCCAGCGCTGCCGCGCTGCGGGCTGCTGGCCGCGCTGCTGGCTGCGCTGCTGGGCGCGCTGCCTCCCTCGCTGCCGCCCTCGCTGCCGCCCTCGCTGCTGCTGTCTGCGTCGCTGGAGCGGCCGCCGGTGCCTGTGATGCTGCCGGCAGGCGTGGTATACCCTTCCTCAGAGGCCGATGCGGACAGGGGCACCGTGGCTCCCGGCCTCGTGCCAGTAGGCTGCAGCTGATGCTGCGGCTGGTGCTGCTGCGGCTGGCGCTGCTGAGGCTGCCGCGCCTGCTGCGCTGCCACTGCCGCAGCGGGTGCCGCTCTGTCAGCACCGCCGCCGCTGGCGCCGGCGGCGCCGCCAGCCTCCAGCTCCTGCCCAATGCTTCCTGCCAGCCCCGGCAGCCGCAGCGTGCGCGCAGCGGCCTGCAGGCAGGCAGCGGCGAGAGGGGCGTGTGGCTGTGCAGTTGTGCGCAGGCCCCCGGTGCATGCATGGAAGTGCCTCCGCCCCCCGGCTTGCCGCCGTGTGCTGTCTGGCTCCCGGGACGACCTCTAAGCTGCTTTGCTGCACCCCAATGCACCACTGCATGCCGCCACTCTGCTGGAGGACTGTCCAGGCGGCAGTACGCCCACTGTCCGGCCCGAGGGCAGGTTTCAGCAGGAGCATGTACAGCGCTGCCTACGGTAGAGACCAGGCAGCACACGCTGCTCTCACGCAAGGCAGGCAGGCCCCTGCCCCCGCCTCCCACCTGCATCATCTGGAGCAGCGCGCTCCTGGCGGCGGCGCCGCGAGCCCCAACCTCCGCCTCCTGCAGAGAGGAGGAGGCAGGGGAGCAACCGGTGAGAGGCAGCGGCAGCAGCAGCAGCAGCAGCAAACTGGCAGCGGCAAAGAAGGGTGGGGAGGCAGCAGAGGGGTGGACAATGCTGCGGCAGCCCACAAGTCACGCCATCGGCAGCACAGGCGCATGCCAGCTAGGCTAGGCAGTGGGCAGGCCAAGCGGGTGGACAGGGGAGCCCACCTGCAGGCGGTGCTGCTCCGTGCTGGCCTGCACCGCCGCCGCCGCCAGCTCCAGCTGCTGCAGCTCGCAGCGCCGGGCGTCGGCGGCACGCTGCAGGCAGCGGGGTGCTGGTCAGGTGGGCAGTGAGTGGGGGCGCAGCATGCGCAACACGTGGCAGCATGCCAGCTTTCCCCAGCTGGGCTGGCGATGGCAAGCAGGCCGCCGCGGCCGCCACATGTGATGGCAGGGGCCGCGCCAGCCACCGCCTCGCGCCAGCGCCCACCTGCGCCTGCGTGCACAGCTGCTGCAGGCGTGCCGCATGGTCGGCCAGCACCTCACGCCGCTGCCCCAGCCCCGCCGCCGCCTCCAGCGCCGCGAGCAGCTCCTGCTGCTGCTCCACCACGCCCGCCTCCAGCCGGCTGCAGGTAGGCAGATGGAGGGAGGGAGAGGCGGCGAGGATAGCAGGTGAGGGCATGCAGCAGTGGGAGTTGTAAGAGGTGGGTGCTCACGTTGGGTCGCACAGAAAAGGGGCTCAGGCTGAGGCCCGCATCACCTGATCTGCTGCTGCAGCTGCCGCTGCTCGTGGCTGGCCCGCGCCTGCTGCTGCACCAGGCCCAGCCTCTCCTCCTGCAGGTCCGCCAGCTGCCTCGCCTCCTGCTGCTGCACCTGCACGCCGCCGCCGTCGCCGCGCGCCGCGGGGCTGCCGCCGGGCGCCGCAGCCGGCAGCGGGCGTGGCGGCGAGGGCGCCAGGTTGGAGGGCCGTCGCGTGGCGGCCGCTGCTGGGAGCACCGGTGGCCCTGGCAGGCCGCTGCGCCGGGCCGTCACGTCGCGGTAGGTGGAGGAACCAGAGGCTGGGGCCGGCTCGCGATGCCGCACGCTGCGGCTGCCGTCGTTTTCGGCCGGCGGCAGGCGCAGCCCGGGCGGCGGCGGCAGGCCGCGGGCGGTGCCTGGGGTCAGCGGGCTCGGGCCCCCGCGGGAAGTGGCGGCAGCAGAAGGGACTCGGCCCGTGGGCAGCTGGCCAAAGCCGCGCGGCGTGGAGGCAGAGGCCAGGGGCGGGCGTCGCAGCCACGCCGCCGAGGCGGACCGCGGAGTGGCCGCCCCCTGCTGCGTGTTAGGGAGCTGGCGGTGCTGCTGCTGCGACTGGGGCCTCCCCCGGGCGCTCGGAGGGGGCTGGGGCAGCCTGCTGGGGGGACAGGGCTCCGACGGACGCTCCTTGTGTTTGAAAGCGGGGTGCCATGAGGCCCCGCTGGCCCCTCTGCTATTCTCTTTGCCCATGCCACCTGCCGGAGAATGCAATCCCGGCCCTCGCGACAGCCACCTGCTGCTCTCTTCGCGACGCCATGCTGCGCAAACAGCACAGCAGGGCGCGCCGACCCAACTCCCCCTCGGCATACCTCGCCGATCATTCACGTATCAAGTAGATCGCCTCAGGCATTGGAGAGGGCCTGGTCGGTCCTGGTGACCCCCCCCGATCCACCATCCGCCCATACTCGTCCCAGCACTGCCAGCAGCAGCACCAAGCAGCATGGCAGCAGCAGCAACGGGTTGTCGTCCTGCGCCCAGCCGCCTGGCGCATGTGCAGCTCCGCAGGAGTGCCCTGCGCCTGCCTGGCAGCCGCAGGACAGTCTGCAGGCCGTGCAGGGCTAGCGGGGGAGACTCGGAGGCGGGTGAGTGGCTGCGCCGCTGGTGTGGGTGTGCCTCCCACCCACCGGCGCCGCTGGTGGCGGCACGCCACTTGCCGCTGCTCCAACCTCCTCCCTCGCCCTGCATCCGGCTCCCCTGCTGCTCCGTTACCCCCGCTGTGTCCCCCCACTCATCCTGCCGCATTCCCGGTGCCGCAGGCGTGCCCCCGGCCCTCACGCTGAGCGAGGCTTACGCTACGCTAGGCCTGGGCGAGGGGTCGGCCTATGACGAGGTACTGGCAGCCAAGAACGTGCTGCTGGAGCGGCATGCCGACGACCTGGAGCGCCGCTACCAGGTGGGGGCAGAGGAGCAGACCTGCCGCCAGATGGCCAGCCGTCCCGACGCTGCTGGTGTGCCGCATCGGGGGCACGTGCGCAGCCCCCTGGCCGCTGCCCACAGGCCCAGACCTGCACCCTGCTGACCCTCCACCTGCCTGCCCTCTTCCCAGGTGGAGCAAGCGTATGACCTGATCTTCGCTAGCCAGCTGCGGGGTGAGCGCGCGGGAGGGGCGCTGCAGTGCGGAGGGCGGTTGCAGCCGCTGCTCTCTCCCGCTCTTGCTCTTCGTGGGTGTTCCTGCTCCGTGCATGGTGCCTTGCTTTTCTTCTTCACAGTTCGTCCCCGTCCCACCAGCTGCCGGCCCGCTCCGCCTGCACCCCCCTGGCCACCTCTCTGTGCCTGCAGCACGGCTGACGGGCGACCTGCCAGTGGCCAGCAACGTGCGCTTTGCCGACGTGCGGCGCCCCGCTCCGCCGGCGCCGCCCGCGGGCGCCGCCGCGGCCGCCCAGAAGGCGCAGCAGCTGCTGCAGGGCATCCCCGGCGGCGGCGTGGCGGTGCAGGCGCCGCGGCCGCGCACCGCCACCACCGCGGCCGCCGTGTTTGGCGTGCTGGCGGCCTGGACGCTGGCGCAGGGGCTGCTGGAGCCCAGCCCGCAGAGTGCGGCGGCCGACGTGCCGGGGGTGCAGCTGGCACTGGCCACTGCAGCCACTGTGTACCTGCTGAGGGAGGAGAAGCGGATGGGGCTGGGCAAAGCCATCGGGCTGGCGCTCGTGGGCCTGGTGGTGGGCACCTTTGTGGGCGCTGCGGTGCAGTCGTGGCTGCGAGTGGACATCATCCCCCTGGGGGTGAGTGGTGGGGCGGTGCTTGTGGGTGGGCAGCTGGCTGGCAAGGAGCCAGCTGCAGCTGCAGCTGGCGATGCGCTGCGGCCTGGGCCCGCTGCCGGCATGCACCGACGCGTACAGGCATGCGCCGCCAGCCATGCAGCAGTCAGCAGGCCGCCCGCTGCCGCGCGCGCCGCCGACCGCCGCTGCTGCGCTGCGCCGCAGGCCCTGTCCTCCCCCGGCATCCTTGTGGGCGAGTTCTCCATCATCGCCCTCGCCGCCGTCTGCCTCTTCCTGGCCTGACTGATCGACCCACCGCTCAGCAGATGAGCAGGGGAGCTGCGCGGGCACGCCTCCTCACCCAGCACGCACCTGCCTTCAGCACTCCATTACACGTGCGTCCATTTGTGGCGATTTCGTCTCCGTTTGATTGATTTGGTCCTGCCTTTGGCCAGCGCTGCCTGCCTGTGGGCTGCCCTGTGCCGCCGCATGGCGCGCGCGCTGGCTATGGTGCGGGCTGCGTGGAGCGCTCAGAGCCTGGATGCCCCCTTGCCAACAACGTTTCGCCGCTGTGCATCTCCACCCAACGCTCCTTCTTGCCGCCGAAGCTTCCCAGTTGCACGTGGGAAGCAGGTGATTTCATGCCTTGACTGTCCTCGAGCAGATGCCTCCTTCGTGTCTCTCCAACCTTGCCCTGCGCCTGTACACTAGCCTCTTGCCCTGCGGGGCAGGCCCCAGCACCTGGCACAGTCTCTCTCTTTCACTCCGAATGGTGCTGCTGATGATCAGTTATTGAGAACTTGTACCCAGGACGGTGGCGCAGTCTGTAACACCGCTAATGGCTGACGGGGCCAGTAAGGAGCCTATCTAGTGCAGTACCTATGGGATAAATCAGTGCTGCCAGAATGGGTGTGCTGCCGAGGATGAGTAAACAAAGTGCTGCTGAGAACAAGAAACACAAAACGCTTAGCAGCATTGAGTGGTGAGAGCACCGGGCTGCAGCCCTGTGGGCAGCAGGGGCTGCAGGATGGTGTGGGCCCGGCCCCGGCCATTGAGTGCCTGGAAGGTAGCCGCCGCATCCAGCTCGCCACCCACCTCTGGCGCCTGCTGCGCCGCCTGCCGCTTGACTGCCCGCCTGCCCACCAGCAGAACACCGTACTCGCCAGCGGGGATGGCCAGCTGGCTGGGAGGCTTCCGCCGGCCGCTGGGCGGCTGCATGGGCGTGCCTCGGCGACGGCTGCCCTCCTTGCCGCGCGCAGAGCTGCCGCAGGCTGCACCGACCATGCCACCCACTCCAGAGCTCGCAGTCGCCGCCTCCGCAGCCTCACACACCATGGCGGTGCCGCCGTCCCCTGCCTGGCTGCACTCGCTGTACCAGGGGGGCCAGCCGGGCACGCGGTGAGCAAACGCAGAGCAGGGAACTCCGACTGGCTTGGGAAGATGCAGCAGCAGCGCCACCTTGCCGCCATCTTATAAGCAGCAGAGTGCGGCTGCTGCCACCTTACCGGAGCAGCAGCATGATGTCGGCAGTGATGATGTCCCGCGCTGCAGCCTCCCGCTCCGCAGCCCGGCTCCGCGGCAGCATCGCTGAGCTGTCCGCAGCCGCATGGGGCGGCTTGAAGGCGGGCACGAGGCGGGACGAGGCTGCACCTGCCGACACCCTGCCGGCGCCCTTGGCGAGGCTGCCGGCCCGGCTGACGGCCCTGCCGCTGCTGCTGTTCTCTTTGCAGGCAGGAGAGGGGAGCAGCAGGCCCCAGGGCGCCAGCTTGCCTGGACTGAGTGGGGGCCCTGCCTGCGGCAGTGCAGCACCCGCCTGCCGCGGGCTGAGCAGCAGGGCTGGGATGGGCGGCAGCTCCGCCGGCGGCGTCGGCTCCGACCAGCCTGCGGCAGCGGCGGCCAGCGGCGCCAGCCGATCAGCCGCGGGCGGCAGCCGCCCCGTCAGCTGCCATGTCAGCATCTCCATAGCTTCCTCTGCTGAGCTGTCAACCTCCATAGGCTGCCTGCCGCCTACACACTCTGCTGCCTGCGCGGGCGCTAGTGATGCCACCGGCACGTCTGGCTGTGTGGTGCTGGCCAAGTTCACAGCCCGCACCGCTGCTGCACCTGAAGCGGCAGCCGTGCCTGCACCGCTGCTGGCAGGAGCCCGGGGCGGCGTAGCCACAAAGGCTCGGAACGCCGCCCATTCTGAGCACGGCTGCGGCGCTTGCGCCGGCGGGGCCTGAAGCTGCGGCCCAGGCCCTGCTGCTGCTGCCGCTGCTGCTGTCCCTGCCCCAACGGTGGCCGAGCTCTGCCCACTGCCAAACAGCTGCTTGGGCGCCAGCACCGCCTGCGACGGCTCTCCCTCCTCGCTGCTGATGCGGCGCCGGCGCGGCGGCTCCCCGCCTGCTGCTGGCTCGCCCGCCGCTGCCGCGCTGGAGCCGCCAGCTGGCGCCGCCTCTGTGCGGCTCTCCTCACCAAACCGGCTGCGCCCCGCCCGCGCCTTGTCGGGCGTCTTGCGCTTGGAGCGCTTGGTGGGAGGCGGGGAGGGCGGGAGAGGGCCGGCGCTCGGGCTGCCCCCAGGGCTGCTGCTGCTGCTTGCGGCGCTGCTGCCACGGGTACCCTGCTGGGCGCAGCGCTGCTCCCATGCAGCGAAGGCCTCATCCCCCAGCCTGAACATCCTGCACAGCTGCCTGGCCACCCGTGGGCTGCGCACCCGCTTCAGCTGCTGGCCGCTGCTGGCCTGCAGCTCCTGGGACAGCTGCAGGCGGGGCGGGGCAAGGCGCAGGGGCTGGCGGCGAGTAGGTGGCGGTGGCAGGTGATGGCTTGTTGCACAGGAGGCACCATGCGCAGCCATGGCACGTGCCAGCCAAGAAAGCCGCTGAGCATGTGTGCGCACCTCTTTGAGGCGCCGCGCCTCCTGCAGGATGCCGGCAGCACCCGAGGCGGCGTCCGCCTCTGCCGCCGCGGCAGCCTCCCTCCTGCGGCACGCGCAGCGGCGGCGCCCAAGGGTCGGCCTTGCATCCCTGGAGCGACACGAATGCCAGGCAGAGCAGCCATGAATCCCAGGCAGTGCATCGGGCTCACAGGCGCTCCATTAGGCGTCGGTGGCGCCGCATGACCAGATCCCGCGCGTTGCTCGGAGCAAACAGGCGGCTGGCGGCCAGGCTCTTCTCAGTCAGCGCAAACAGGCTGACGGCGGTGACGTCCGCCGCCCGCTCCGCATCCGCCAGATGCTTGTTCACAAAGTGGTTCATGAGGGCCTGCAGGCGCAGGCTCTTTTCCGGCGCCTGCAGCACAGGACGGCTGAGGCAGGCGGGTGGGCGGGTGCCGGCCAGGATGCAGGGTGGCGGACCGCGCGGCAGGGGGCTGCCCTGGAGCTGCGGCCAACATCGGTGCAACTGCCCTGCAGCCGTTAGCCTGCTCTATGCAGGTTATTTTCTTCGACATGTTGGGGAGGAGCAAGTCATTGACCAGCTCACCTTGCCGGAGGCCCTCCTGCTCCGTCCATCCATCGCCGGCCTGGCCGAGGCGCCCTGTGCAGGGCTCCTGTCTCAGTCAGAAGCAGTCCCGGGCAAGTGGCCCTCGCAGCGGCCCAGTCTCAGGCGCTGCCTGCAGCCACAGGGGCGATGCCAGTTTGGGGCGATGCGTATGCGGTGAGGCGCAAAGCAGCGGGCCCTGCTCTGTCTTCCCAGCCGAGGTTGAGCGCAGCACACAGCAGGCAGCGGACGCATCCGCGACAGAGATCTCTCCGTAACGCTTCTGTCGCATTACATGAGCCCTGGGGTCTCAGCTGGGACGCTTGCAGTGCAGCTAGCAAGAGGGTGCGGGACTTGAAACGTCGCGTGCGCTCACCCAAGCAGGGAAGCGCTAGCGGCATGCTGGACCTGAACGACCGCCGAACGCTGCTGCTGTGCGGCGCCGCCACGGCGGGAGCCGCCACCGTGTGGCTGGCTCGGCGGCAGCTCACCTCATCAGCCCTCCAGGCCTCCTCCGCTCCCACGAGCTTCGAGTCTTACCTGAGGAACAAGGACGTGGGTAGGAAGGCGGCGCCGCCGCAGCGGTTCGCGGCCACCAGCTTCGAGGCCTACCTGCGCCAGCCGTCCGCGACCGTTGCGGCGGCGGCGGCAGCTCCCACCGCGGCGGCAGCAGCCGCCTCGGCTCCAGCTGCACCCCCTGCCGACGCCAAGCCCGTCACAGTGCTGTACGGCACTGAATACGGCTTCAGCAGGGAGGTGGCGGAGCGGGCCTGCGACGCGCTGCGCGGCGCCGGATTCTGGCCGCAACTGCTCGACATGGCAGGCCTGCCGCGCGGCCTGCCCGCCCTGGCCAGCCACCAGGCGCTGCTGGTGGTGTGCTCCACCCAGGGCGACGGCGTGCCACCCACAGAGGCCCGCGACTTCTGCGAATGGCTGGCCGGCAGCGGCGCGCCGCAGCTTGGCGGCGCCGTGCGCTTCTCGGTGTGCGCGCTGGGCGACAGGTGGGCGCCTGCTGTGCGGTACGCCTCGCCTGGCAGCTGCAGGCACGCCGTGCGGCTCGCATCACTCATGTGACGTGCCGGCAGCCAGGCAGCGCCGGCCCAGGCCTGCCCGCCGGCCCGCCAGGCGGACAGACGGCTCCACCCCCTCACATGCCTCCCCGGCTCCCGCCTTCCGCAGATCTTACCAGCACTTTTGCCGTTGCGGCCACACCCTTGATGCGCGGCTGGAGGCTCTGGGAGCTGCACGCCTGGCGCCACGCGTAGACGTTAACCGGGAGGACTTTTCTGCCATCGACGGCTGGGTGGAAAGCGTGCTAGAGGCGCTGCGCCGCGAGCCGCTCAAGACGGTGGCAGAGCTCGGCGGCTGCGACGCGCTGGCGGCGGCCCCCGCAGCGCAGCAGGGCGCCAAGAGGTGGGTGCAGGGGCGTGGACAGGTCTGCAGGGCGGCGGTGCCTGCTTGTGCTCGAGGGTGGTATGCGTGAGCAGCGGCAGGGGCATGCTCCAGCCCCTGCCGCCCGCCGCTCCACACCCCGTGCGCTCCGGCTGCCGCGCAGGTGGGGCAAGAGCCGGCCTTTCATGGGGCGGGTAGTGGCGGTGGAGGCTCTGTGCACGCTGGGTGGCGGCGACGACAAGAACACGGTGCGGGTGGAGGTGGATCTGGGGGACTCGTGCCTAGAGTATGCTCCCGGCGACGCGCTGGGCATCTGGCCGACCAACTGCCCGCAGGTGCGTGTGGCGGGAGCTGGGTGTAAGCAGGGGAGAGGGTGGGACGGTGGCAAGGGGCGGGTGGCGGGGGCCAATGCGTGTGCTGCAGGCAGGCTGGCCCGCTGCTGGCCTTCCGCTGTCTGCATTTGATGCTCATGCGCGGCCCGATGCAGCCTGCCAGGCAGCTTCACCCCGGTTCGCTCCCCTGCTTGCCAGCCTCCCGACGCCCTGCCTGCGCCAACCGCTCGCCTGCGCCGCAGGCGGTAGAGGAGCTGCTGGGTGTGCTGGGCGCTGACGGCGACCAGCTGGTGCCGGTGCCCGCCTGGCACTATGCCGACCCCCTGCTGCCACCCGGCGCCGCCACCATGCCGCTGCGGGACGCCCTGGCCCGCTGCTACGACCTGCGCCAGCCCAGGCCCGACCTCCTGCCGCTGCTGCACGCCCGGCTGGCGGCCGCGGAGCGGGCCGAGCGGGCCGCGGCCGACAGCGCCGCCGCGGCCGCGGCCGACGGCGCGCGGCGCGGCGGGGCGGGCAAGGGCGGGGGCAAGGGCGGGGGCAGGGGCAGGGCGGGCAGGGGCACGTCAAGGACAAGGACAGCGCCAGCGAGCTCAGCGGCGCGGCGCGGCGGCGGGCCACGGCGGCGGTCCACGCGCAGCT